TCTCCAGGTTGCGCTCGTTCAACTCTGCCATCGTCTTTTGCATCTTCGCCAGCTTCTCATCGTACTCCTGGCGTGCAGCAGCAACTTGAAGCTGATGATGCCGCTGCATGCGCTCCACCTCCGTGGCGTGCCTGCGACGCTCCGCCTGCAAACGCTCCTGCGCAGCAGCCAACTGCCGCTCCGACTCCTGCAGAAGGCTCTGTAGCTTGTGCTGTAGCCCCCCCTGTGCTTGGGCAAAAGAACAGTGCTGCTCGAGCATTTTCTTCTCGAAGAAGCCCTGTTGCTCCTGCAGCTGCCTCGCCGCCTCCAGCTCATGCACACGCAGCTGCTCTCTCAGGGCAGCGTTGTCTGTTGACAGGTTTTCAGCCAAGCGGTCGACTGCCCGCCGCACCCGCGCCGGGCCAGCGGGCCGATATTCGTGCTGGCGTGGCGCGGCCGGACCCCATGTCCAAGGCTGGTTCCAGCGGCCGCGGCCGCTGCTGCCACATCCATCCCAGGCAGCGCCCCCGCAGCCGTCAGCCTGGCCAGCAGTCCCCTCACCCCCATGATCGCCTCCATCGGCACCGGGGGCATTGCCCTTGCTGCTGCCTCCGGGTTTGCCCTTGCCATCGCCTCCGCCGGGGGGCTGCTGATTGCCCGTGCTGTCTCCGCCGCCGCCGCCATCACCGCCGCCGGAGGGCTGCTGATTGCCCTTGCCCTTGCTGTCGCCGCCACCATCGGCCTTACCTCCACCACCGGGCTGCTTGCCCTTGCTGTCACCGCCACCTCCAGGGCCGCCGCCATCAGCCTCACCTCCACCACAGGGCTGCTGATTGCCCTTGCCCTTGCTGTCGCCGCCACCGCCGCCATCGGCCTTACCTCCACCAGGACCGCCGGGCTGCTTGCCCTTGCTGTCGCCGCCGCCATCGGCCTTACCTCCGCCAGAAGGCTGCTTGCCCTTGCGGCTGCCAGGCTTGCCACCGCCACCTGGATTTGGGGGCTGCTTGCTGCCCTTGCCATCGCCGCCACCTCCGCCAGGCCTGTGACCTCCACCCTTAGGGCCTCCACCCTTGCCGCCATCCATCTGGCCCTTGGCCTTGCCCGCAGCGCTGCCACTCTTGGGCTGGCTGCCATCACCGCCAGGAGGGCTGGGCTTGCCCTTGCCACCGCCGTTGCCCTTGCTGTCGCCATCTTTGGCCTTGGCCTGGTCGCTGTAGCGCTTGTTGTCGCCACTGTCTGCACCTCCGCTGGGCGTGCCCTTTCCATCACCTGCCATGGCTGCAAACCTGTCTGCGCTGCACCTGTGTAGTGGTCCGAGTGTCTGTTGCAGGTGGTGGCTTGATGTGTTGCTTTGCGTTTCAGCCTTGCCATGGGTTGGCTGGTTGTTCTCAGTGGCAATGTGCCTGCAAGGGTGTGCCTGCAAGTGTGCCTGCAAGGCTGGTTGTTCCCACTGCCCCCAGACCTAAGCATCAGACATTATGTTGAGCCATGCGGGAAACCAACGCATCGTGAGATATGATGTTTGCCTCTCTCAGCAAGAGTCACTTCATTCAGTGACAGTGCAACTAATGTCTACTTGCCTCTTTCGGCCAGAGTCACTTCATTCAGTGACAGTGCAAAAGAATAAGGCCCACCTCTCAACAGGTTTGTGTGTTTTATGCTGCGCAAGAGACACACACATAAATAAGCCTCATATACTTCACAATTGTTGATCCAGAATGCGTAGCACATCAAAGGTCGCTCAGGGGACAACTGACTAAGATTCATTTTAAAGACTTCACTTCATTCAGTGCGCAAGTAGGAAGTTGAGCCACACATGAGTCAATGCTTCTTACTGGCAATCGTGTCCATTCAAATCAACGGCAGAATGGGCCCAATGCGCGGTTAACGCCAACATGTGGTGATGACAATGAGTTTAGGAATCTTCAGACAGCCACGCTACCCGCGCCAAGGCTCCGGCAGGTCATCTTCAAGCACTTCGTCCCAGACAAATTCAGGCCTCGGAAAACAGCTGCCCACTGGATGAAGTGGCTCAGGCCGAACGAGGCCATCCCCAAGCCCAATTGCCCACTGCATGAAGTGTCTCAGGCCGAATGAGGCCAACCCCAAGTTGATTTGTTCAGTGAACAAAGTAGCACGATTGCCCACTGCATGAAGTGGCTCAGGCCGAATGAGGCCTTAAATAATTGTCTATGTTTTAGCAACGTACCAACATGTGTCTTTCCATGTTGCTCACTGCATGAAGTGTGCCTCAGGCCGAATGAGGCCTTAAATAATTGTGTATGTTTTAGCAACCTACCAACGCATGTCTTTCCGGAAGATTGCTCACTGCATGAAGTGTGGCTCAGGCCAAATGAGGCCTTAAGTAATTGTGTATGTTTTAGCAACCTACCAATATATGTCTTTCCATGCTTTCAGGAATGTTGCTCACTGCATGAAGTGTGGCTTGGGCCGAATGAGGCCTATCGCAGCAACTTGAACCCACTACGCAACAAGGGTTAAGCTGTGCCCCGAAAAACCAAAGTCCTAGCTTTGATTTGTGCAACTAAGGCCACTCATTGCAGGGTTGACACGAACCTGAGCACATGAATGAACCAAGCCGGGTGGCAATGTGAAGCGCGCGTTCAATCACCGGTTGGCAGGACCAAGCTCTGAGCCACACACAGTTGGCGTGCAATTTCTCCAAGGACATGTGCTTGAACTTTCACAATTTACGAAAAAACATGATTTTAGCATCTGTTGCAGTGCGCAAGACATCTGTTTCAATCGAACTCAATGCGCGTGCAAACCTAGTCAAAACACGCGCAGACACCGTGAAACGCTCATGTTTGCAACATCATGTTCCGCTTGGAAAACCTTAGCGCGAGCAAGCCAAGCACACGCAAAACACACGCCTAAGACATGCAACTTCAAAACGCGGGGTTCCCCTGGCAGTTCGCCTAATTACGCGTGGTTTAGTGTAAAACGTGTGTGTTATACGTTACGCGTGCGTGTTTTAGCGTGTTTTCAAAACGCTGGGTTTCCCCTGGCAGTCCGCCTAATCATGCAGTAGGCGGACTGCCAGGAAAGCCCAACTGGCTCGCGCGCACACACATTAACAGAGACACACATAAGCGCAGACCGCAGCAACATCGCCCTCGGCTTCACAGGCAAAACGCATTTTGATTAAACATGTCGGACATGGAAGCGTTGAACTTGGCAAGCTTGTTCTGCAAACTGTTGAACTTGTTGGGTTTAAATGGAAAATTTGCGTACGCGCTGCAGGTGTTTGGGTCAGTCAAGCTGCTTAGTAGGGTAAGCATGCCGCCACCGCATGGCCGAAGCCACAGAGGACAGACAAAGACAGACAGAGACAAACAGAGACAAACAGAACTTTAAAACTTTTAGAACCTTAGCCTTACCTGGATGGCCAGGCGTTGGCCGCCACAAACTTTGGAGACTGCTACTCAGCGAGCCGCCAAGGCCGACTATTGGGCGCTGTTTCAAGCAGCTACCCCATGGTCCAGCTTTTGGTAGGTGCTGGGCGCAGCTCCGAAGCCCCCCAAAAACGGCGGGCGCTGCTTGCAGCTACCCGATCTACGGGCGCTGCTCCAGCTACCCGCTTGACGCTTTTGAATTAAACGTTTTTTCCTTTTCCCCCGTGTTCAGCGCAGGTCTGTTGAACAGACTGGTCGTGTCCAAAAACCCTCGCAGGAGACCGGCATCGCCGCCGACGCAGCAGGTCCCCGGAAAGGCGTGGCCACCACGGCCGAAGGGGGCGAAGCCGCACCCGGACCTACTATCGCAATGAGCCTCGTGATGCGCGCCGCAGCCATCACAACAGCAGCGCGCGCAACGCTCCAAGGCTAAGGGCCAGGAGCAGCATATCCAGGACCCAGAGGACCGAAAGCTCGCCAGAAGCCAAGTCCGAGGAGGAGGACGAAAGGAAGGAGGAGGGCGAAAGGAAGGAGGACGAAAGGAAGGAGGACGAAAGGAAGGAGGACGAAAGGAAGGAGGACGAAAGGAAGGAGGAGGGGAAGGTGCAGTGCAGATTCTGCCACAAATGGTTGCTGCCGCTTGCAGTGGAGCAGCACCAGCAGAGCTCTACTTGGTGTTTGCAAGCCCAGGGCAAGGCAGTTGACATGCTACAATGCCAACGCTGCAGCAGGAAGACCGCATCAGGGTGGGCAATGGTGCAGCACTACCACTCAAGGCACGCCGAGTTTCTGGAGGACCTCCACAAGATGCAGATCGATGTGGACTGGCAGTACCCGCCAAGCCACAACACAGCGCTGAAACCCAGGCGCTCACCTTCCCGGTCTATGGCTCGCCCCGTGGGAGGCTCGCCGCAACGCCCAAGGTCGCCCCCCAACCCGCCGAAGAGGCGACCAAAGCACCCACCAGGCCCACGAGAGAAGCCAAAGCCACTTCCTTTGAAGGAGGTGGCTGTAAAGCAAGAGTCAGAGCCCGAGGTGGCCCGCCAAGCTGCAAAGCAAGACCAGGACACCAAGCCCAACAAGAACAATGCCACAGAGGGCCAAGGCACCGCAAGCCTGGCAACAGTGGACACGGGTGGCACCTGCATCGGGCGGGCTTCAGGCAGGCCTCCTTGCGGGGCCCCAAAGCAGCAATGTGGGCAGCTTGCTGATTGCCATTGGGCAGGCTTTGGCTTCTGAGAGATGATTGCCTTAGCATTCCTTGGCCGGTAAGTGGCAATGCCACTACCTTCGGCTTTTTGAGTCGCCGTGGTCGGCAAGGGGCTTGGTCCGGAACTTGAAAGTTGGTAAAGTAGGCATTATATAAAGCCTTAATAAATTCCCAGTAAAAAGCTTTGCCGACCACCGGCCAATCACCTTGCGCCAGCGCAGAGCAAAACACCATAGCTACAGCGTTGCCAATGGTTATGTCTTCAGTTGATCAGGGTGCTTTGCACATTTTGTGGGAAGCTGGGCTCAAGTCTTTGATTCGCATGAAACGCATTTGCATGCACACGCGTTGCAAGAGGATGAGGGGCAACAGCCCATAGTTCTAAGTCTAGTTCCATGGCCAGCGATGACAGCCCGTCCTTGCCATCACTTTCGGAAAATGGCTCATCTGTGATCATGCTGCCCTCCGGCTCAGACTCTGAGCCAGAGCTGCCTGCAGCTTCTGGCTCAGGCCAGTGCTGCAACTCCGGCTGCCTCGCAGCCTTGGACGAGAGCCCGGAGCTTTGCACACGCGCAGAAGAGGTCAGAGTGGCTTTTCAATCCAGCCGTGTAGAGGATCTTGCCAAGCTCCGATACCATTGCTTGGCGGCTTGGCAAAGCAAGCCGTCTGGCTGGCGCCACTTCCGTGCTTGGGGCATGCCACTGTGCAAAAATGCGGTGTGTTCCTTGTTGCACATGGGTTCAACCATGTACAGCAAGTTCACTAAGCATATAGCAGAGGGGTACATTGACCCACCCATGGACCTGCGGCGCACGCAATGCCAGCAACGCACAACTGGGCAGAGCACCTCTGACGCCACTGTTGCAGCCGACACCTTGCTACGGTGGATCCACGAGAATATGGCAGAGCATTTGGCAGAGAGCGACCAGTTCGTCTCAGGCAAGACCAATTTGCTCCACAAGGCAGAGACGGCAGGCTTGGCAGATATCGCCAACGGGCCTGAGCACATCAAGTGGCTGGCGCCAGGGACAACGCTGACTGAGCTGCTGTCATTCAGCGCAGCCTTCAACCCAGAAGTGGAGGCTCCCAGCTTCTCCACCTTTTGCCGGATCTACCACAGTGAGGGGCAGCATTCCAAGTGCGACAGCTGCGAAAAGTTCAAAGCCTGGAGGCGACTTGCCAGCTCCAAGAGCGACGTTGACATGGTGAGCAAACTGTACAAGGAGCACCTGGCAAGCATGATGGCGGACAGACGGGTGGATGCTGCCATCGCTGCATTGGCCCGTCAGACATGGGCCGGAGAGGGGGGGGACAAGTCCACATTGTCCCTGACCCTTGATGGGATGGACACCACAAAATTCAAGGTGCCAAGGAACTGGCATGTTCTAAGGAGTGGGACTCATTGTGGCGACCCGAACTCCGGCTTCACGGAGCGCTGAATGGATACTCAGAGGAATACATACTGACAGACCAGGACATGAGCAAGGGCAGCAACTTGGACCTGACCATCATCAGCCATCTCCTGCACGAGTCCCAAGGGGAAATGCAGAAGCGTGGCATACCCTGGCCACGCTTTCTGCGACTCCACGCAGACAACGCAAGTAACGAGCTGAAGAACCAATTATGCTTAAAGTTCATGAGCTGGCTCACTCATCGCGGGCTTTTCCAGGAGTGCATGCTGACCACTTTTCAAGTGGGCCACAGTCATGGCCGGATAGATCAGAGGTTTTCAGAGATACGTGCAGTTCTGGCTGACAGCCCACTGCTCCAGTCACCAGAAGACTTCGCACGGGCGCTGCAGAAAGTCAAGCCGCGCGAAGGCCGTGAACTCCGGGTAAAGAAGCTGGAAGCAGCAATAGATTTTGAGGAGTTCTTCAGCTCACTCCAGGTCAATGTCTCGGGGCACACGCAGACACACTCCAAGTCAAAGCAGGGCGAGGAAGCTGTGCACGTTTTTTCTGTGCAATTGCGAAAGAACATCAGCAAGTCGTGGCGCGACAGGATTGCCTCCTCATTTCCAGACACTCCCAGTGAGAACGATGTGATTCTCACTTGCAGGCATTACCTGGCATCAGACCAGGACTCGCAGGATCCTTGCGTTTTGGTGCCTGACACAAGGATGAGGGCATTGCAGGCGACTGCGCCCGACAGCCTTGCACCGCGACGCTCTCTCAGCGAGCGCCAGGCCAAGGAGTTCTCCAAAACAGCAGTTGCGATCGCAAAACCACCTTGGAACATGCTGAAGGCTAGCTCTTACTTGTCCAACTTGGTCAAAGAGAACACACAGGGCGGTGGGCCTCATTGGAAGCCATTGCCAGTGGACTGGGCTTTGGCCGGGCACCCGCCCGAATCCTCCGCAGCAAGCGAACCAGCAGACGCCATAAGCCCAGAAGAGATGCAATGGGCTGTACGGAAGCCAGCCACTGTCGCAGCCAAACCTGTCATTAAAACAGGAGCTTCCAAGGCTGCCGCCAAAAAGTCCAAGGCCATGAAGCGGCCAGCAGCAGCCCGCAGTCCGGAACCAGTTGGCAAGCGCAAGGCTGCTGAGGCAGCTGGCTCGCCGCCATGCGGTGCTTCGGCAAACGCTTCTGACCCGCCGCAGCCAGAAGGCTGCGAGGCAGATGCAGTTTCATTGCCAAGCCCTGGCAGCGGAGAGGAAGGGCTCCACTTCAATTCCGCACTACCAGCGAAGCCCACGGCATCAAGCGCAACGGTCGGCGCACCGCGGGGAGCAGTGGTAGCAGTTCCCACCGACGAGCGGCCCGCAGCCAAGGAAAAGCCACGAAAGCGTCAACTGGGCAAATTGCCAATGCCAGATGATGCGAAAGACTACTTGGGCTGCACCAAGTGCAAGTACTCCAATATCGGATGCGCCACATGCCGCCGCAAGGTCGGCCTGGTCTTGAACGCTGATGAGACTGCGTGGACATGGGCGACTTGAGACACGGGACGCGGCCAACCAAGATGAAAAACACGCCCCAATGCATCGCATCCAATGCTGCACTGCTTGCCTCGCACTGCCCAGTAGTAAGTTGTAACGCTGCGCTCTTTCCACATTGTAGGCATTGGGCTCACAGATCGCATAGTAGTTCAGCTCCCGCCCCAATCTTGCAATCCATGGCAGCGCAGCCTGACATCATCATGGTGGACAGCGAGTCCGACTCTGGCGACAGCCAAGAAATAGAGATTCGGAACACCGCACCACGCCACGACTTCATTGAAGTCTTCAGCCCACCAAGGGTGACCTTTGCTTGTCAACGCCAGGGCCTGGTGGCTGAACACGGCATAGACATAGTGACAGGTTTTGACCTGAACACCTTTGAAGGTCGCGCTGCCACACTGCAGCTGTTGGGGAAGGCCCGGCCAAGGTTCCTCATGCTGAGCCCCCCATGCACAATGTACTCGGCGCTGCAGGGCTTGTTCAACTTGCACAAGATGAATCCGCAAGTCCTGCAGCAGCGAATGGTTGAGGCAGACAGCCTGTTGAAATTCGCAATGTTTCTGTGCAAGAGACAACATGACCGAGGAGCTTTCTTCTGTTTTGAACATCCACATCGGGCCACTAGCTGGCAGAGGCCCTTTGTCCAAGCCATCCTCAACTTGCCGGGCTGCCAGCTCACCGCATTCGACCAGTGTCAGACAGGATTGGTCACTCCTGGAGAGAACCCAAAGCCCATCAGAAAGAGGACACTGTTGATGTCCAACGCGCCGGCCATCCAGGCCATGTTCGGGCCCATGCAGTGCAACTGCCCAGCAGCTTCGCACGTGCATGTGCAGGGGTCTGTCGATGGCATCCGGTTGTCCACATGGTGTCAGAGATACACTCCCGGGCTTTGCAATAATCTGGCGGAGGCAGTGGCCAGAACACTTGGCCACGAGTGAGGCGACAAACTTACCAATTAATGCACCAGAATGGATTGCTCGCAGGATACCAGATTCAATGGAGGCAAAATGTGACGATCTCATGTCTTCACAAAACGTTCTCCGAGATCTTCAGATTTCGGCCGAAATGTGCCGATCTTTTTGGAAATTCCTGGAAACCAGCAGATGTCCCCCTACATTTTTTTGTACCCAGACATCTTCAGGTTTTGGCGTTCCCATCCCGAGATCTTCACATTTCAGCCGAAATCTGACGATCTCTGCATCTCACAAAACGTCATGCGACATCTTCAAGTTTTAGACCGACAGCCACTCTTGGTGGCCCAGGCAGTGTGAGTCCCCAGCAGCTCCAGGTCCAGCCCAGCCATTCCTGGTTTGCGGCTGCCGCCTTGCTGGCCTCGACTCGACCTCATGACAGACACTGCGCCGAAGCCATCGCTAGCCTCGAAGGAGGAAAGTGAAGAGACACCAAGTGAGTCAGTCGCCCTTAGCTTGAATACCAAGCCAGAGGAACCGGAGCCAAGAGTTGAGGTGAGCCCTGAGACCTTCCGCGAGGTGGCATACGCAGTCCTGGTGGACGAGTTGAAGAAATGGGGCTCTCCGGCCCAATATCTTCAAAAGACTTACCCGACTCCGGAGTCGCAGCTTGAATTCAAAGAGCTGTTGCTGGAACACTTTCCCAAGAGCCCGGGAATTGATTACCACAGCAGCTCCGAGCTACCAAGCAACATGACCGATCTTATGGCGCTTCATTTGTCAGATTTGGGATTCTTTGCCCGCTCCAGCACCAAACCTGCGCCGTTCCTCCACACCAGCATCAGTCTTCTGGATGAGTACTTGACCAATTCATTCTTGACTGAGCAGGACCCGGTTCTCCTTGCCCAAGGTCCTAGCACCAGCCCCACACCCGACCCGTTCTGGTCCATATACGTGAAGGGTGCCGCTCGAAGTTGCACTGCGCTGTTCCTGGCCGCGCAGTGCATCAAGCGTGGGTGGAAGTTGGCCGTGCTGCGGCAAACCTGCAGCAGTCGCTGCTGGTGGTTCACGCACGGCGTGGGTTCATGCCAACTGACAGAGAGGCTGTAGCTTTGGAGAACGCGCGGCTCTCATCCCGGGGCGCCATCAGGAAGAGCCACTGTGTGCTGACATGGCTGGGCAAGCTGTCGCTGCTACGGGAGCAAGGCCTTTCAGCTGAGAACACTCTGAAAGTTTGGAATCAGAGCTGCACCAAGGAGTCTGCCTTGACAGGCAGCCGAAGAGTTGCGTTGCTGCAGCTGCTGGGCATGCCCAAGGCAGCTGCGGACCTTCTCTTGGAACATGTGTCACTGTTTGGTGACCGGACAGCATTCATGGAAGATGCATTTGCCAGCAAACGCTTGGGAGTGGGGGCCATGCCCCGGTCAGGATCCAAAGCCTGGAACATGCGGCTCCAGGTGACCGAGGCCGGGCAAATGCTTTTCCTCCGGTACATTCACAGCCAGCACCTCAAACGGCTTCCGGGAACCCGGGCGAAGAGAAGCAAAGATGATCTCGAGGAGGCCATCTCGATGGCGCAGCTTCTGGTCTCGCTGACGGACGACCTGACAGCGCAGATGCCCATCGCATCGGTTGATGCCCAGGTCTTCGAGCGGTTTGTCGAAGGTGACACGAACCTGGACTTGGAGCTTCAGTCCGCATTGTCGGAGAAGCGGGCAGATTTTGATCATGGAGACATCACAATCTTCCGTGAGCTGGTCAATGAGCACGCCACCAGCACTGACCGAAAGAGACAGGCCCTGGGCATGCCGACCAGCAGCATTGCAGCCGCCCAGCTGGAGCGCCAGGAGTTTGACATTGCCATGTCCACTCTGAAGCGGGACTGCGATGCTTACAGGATTTGGCTCACACAGAGCCGTGACCGGGAGGCAGCGGCGTATTTCGCAGAGCTCCAGCACCAGAAGCAGCGCAAGCAGAAGGCCAAAGACATTGCGAAGGAGATGGGTCAGCCATCCTCGGCTTTGTGGACCATGCAGCTGACAAAGCTGGGCAAGCCCGCGGCTTGCTACCAGGAGATTGAGGGCGCGATCAAGAACATCATGAAGCGCGAGCAGTTCACGTCGAAGGATCAGGTGCTCAGCCTGGTGGTCCTCAACTGGGCGGCGCCCAGCACATTCAGCTCGGAGCAGCAGGCCTGCCAGGCATCTTTGGCAGGCGCCCTGGTGAACGACGGCAGCGGCATCGGCGCAGTGCTGACGCCGGTGTACTTCCACAAGAAGGGCGCGCTCTTCAAGGTGGAAGAGGCGGCCAACAAGCAGCTTGCGGGGGCGAACCTGAACCAGGACCACCGGTTCGCGCTCCCGTTTCAGGGCAGGAACGACGAGCGCGAGAAGCGCACTTTGGTGCAGCCTGGCCGGTTTCTGGTTCCCATGGAGGAGGAGAGCTACCAGAAGGTGATGGACATCTGGCGGACGGCACCCCTGTTGCGGAAGCCCTTGGCGGAGGAGTCGGTCTTGCTGGCCACCCGGGACATGGTGACCATCGAGGATATCGCAGAGAACGCGCTTCCCCAGACCACCGACACAAGCACGCACATCAAGCCCGCAGAGAAGCACCAACAGATCGGCGTGGACGCAGCGCGGAAGCTCTTGCGGGGCTTCGTTCAGGGGATGGAGAGCAGCTCCAGAGCGAGCATCCTGGTGGTTGACCTGAGCTTGCATAGCGCAGAGCTTTGCAAAGCTGCGCTTCTGGAACACGCCTGCGGGCAAGGGCAGCTGCAGCTTCCGTGCTACTACATTGGCTTTGCAGCCGACGAGGAAAAGCTGGAGTGGGCAAACCATCACATGGAGGAGTTCCTCGCAAACAGCTTCTTGGACCAATCGCTTCCCTTGCCCAAGTCTGCCAGCATTCCACCTGCGAAGCTGGAGTCGGGCTTGGGCGCGGCACCCGCAGCTTCAGCTGCTGACGTACTCCAAGCAAGTGAAGTTTGAGGGCCTGGCGTCTTTGAAGACGCCCGACCCCTTGCTGATCAAGTACGACGAGAGCCCCTTCCGAACAGAGTTTTACGAGATCTTGGCCGCTGCCCGTGAGGCGCTGCCGCTTGACCTTCCTGCAGAGAAAGGTGCAGCAGCACAAGCGAAGCGTGCCCTGAAGATGACCGTCGAGGCTGCGGCAGGTGGCCAGAAGAAGCAGAAGACGCAAGAAGAGAAGCCAAAGCTGGCGCACATAGCCGCTGACAGCGTTCCAACCCCCCTGACTTGGGAAGCCCCGCTGCTGAAAAAGGGCAACAAGGAAGTGTGCGTGGTGATCTCTCTGGGGTCTCGAATCTGGCTGGTGAACCGGTCCGACTCGGAGCAGGCCTTTGAGGCTGGCACCGTGCTGGCCGGCTGGTACAAGGGGAAATTCTGGCACCACCGAAACTCTGGAGAAGACCCCAAAACAAAGAAGGCCAAGAAAGAAGAGGGCCAGTCGAATGAGCCAGGCGAAACTGACGTGCAGTTCAAGTTGAGCGATGGCAACGACTTGGTCAGCTTCAACGGCAAAACCACGAACCTGGCAAGCTTGATCCTGGAGAAGCGCAAGAGTGTGCCCGACATTGGCATTTCATACCACAGCATTGTCGACAAGCCCTTGCCTGGCCAGCCCGGGTTCTTTGGGTTGGAGACCAAGCACAGCATCTACTTCCGGGCAGAGACCATTCCCGTCAAGACTGAGGACAACCAGCAAACGCCCAAGATTCCTTTGAATCACTTGGGCGGGTGCATCAAAGCCAGCGCATGGGACACAGCCGCGACACACATCGTGTGGGCAGTGAAGTGGAACGCATCAGCACAGAAGGGTCTATCGCCCGTCCGGCCAGTGGTCACCTTGAAGCAAACGGTGAGCTTGCCGGCGCAGTCAGCCGTGGAGCTCTCGCAGCAGAGCGCCAGCACGGTCACGGGGCCGTCCGCTGAATCAGAGTAGGTGTAGCAGGCTTAGGCAGCGCAACTGTCAGTTTCGAAAACCACGCATTGCCAAGGTGCACCAAAAAATCCAAACAGGACCTTCATCCCAAGAGGAAGCCTGAAGATAATTCCAAGTTGAAGTTGGGCTGGAACACAGCCCCGCAGACCCTGCGATTCTACCAGGAGAGATTGCAATATCAAATGACATGCCAAGGCGCAGCGACCCACCACCAAAAAGCTTGATTCTTCTTCACCCATCCACACACCATGGAGAAACACCCTTTACAACACACAACACTAATAGGTTTGGAAAGCTGACAGCGTAGGGCAGAAGTAGGACCGGGCCGGGCCATCAGATTGCCAGCGGATCACTGAGAAAAGAACTTGGAGCGCAAGGTGTCCTCACTTCCTGAGTTCATGAACTTTAAACTTTTTGGGAAGACCATTTTAGTGGTACATATAAAGTTTGGACTTTTTTTGGCCATCCACCCAGCCAGTGAGTGTCAACACTTGCATACACAAAGACCACTTGGTTATCAGCAGCATATTTTTGCAGGGCTTTTAAAATTTGCAAAGCGGGTGCGTGTCTATGAAGCAACACTGGATTGAATCTTGCTGCCGGGGCGGTCCTTTGCCAACTGTTCAGGCACTTATTCGTGTTGCAGCCTTGCAATGACTGGGAATCTTTGCCATTGCGCCATTGCTGTTGAACTGGTGCTTGGATTTAGGGGGCCGCCCCTTTGCAGTTGTGGCCTAAAAGAAGAAATACAAGCTCACTCCGCACTACCCTCAAGTAGGCCATGACGGCTGGTGTCCATGATGCTGATGATGCAAAGTTGTTTTCTGGAAGCCCACAATCACTTCTTTTTCGCGCAGCGCAGTTTCAGGAGCAGGGCTCAGTCAAACCCACACCAATGGGCCAGGTGAAACTAAGTGAAACTGAACTTCGGGTCAGGCCTTGCGCTTGCCATACAGGTCGCTCAGAGTTTTTTGAAGCTTCCGATTGGTGGCTAAGACGATGCCCGTTTGAGAGTCATCCAGGGCGCCGTAGCCCAAGAAGGTCCTTGACAATGAGCACGCACACAAATATGCCCCACATGTTTGAGAAGCGAAAAGAGGCAGGACAAAATGTAATAGTGACTAGCTGAAAGCTAAGCAGCCTGCGGTCCACAATCCGGGCATACTGCATTGCCGTCGCTTCCGCAACATCACATCGCTTCATGTCATTCACCATGCGATGCCGGCCAGAGTGAGTCCGGATGTTTTGAGTGACAATTGCCACACTCACCTTTGGCGGAATGGAGAAGGTAGCACGCAGCCTGGAGACTGCCTTGCAAGCCGTGTCCTTGTTGATGTGCTTAGTGTTGCAGTCTGCGCGAAGGGCAGGAAATAGCAGCTGGTCGGGCTCGCGGGGAAACACCCACTTGTCTTGAAATGTCACTCGCCCCCACATGCCTTTGCTTCTAGAGCGCTTCCTATTGACACCATGGGCCTTCAACAGGCGCAGCTTGGCCAACGCAGGCTTCAAAAGGTGCTTCCACGCAGCAGTTCCTCTTTTCAAGGGCGCTATGAACACACATTGCGTCTTGAAGTTGAAGTCCCGAGCACGTAGTCTTAGTACTTCTGTGATGCGGAGGCATAGCATATGAGTCAGCATCAATGCCACATGCAGCCATGTTGGCCCTTCACGTAGCACATGCGCGAGCCACAAATTCCACTTTCTAGGCATGATGGTCGCAAATGCCGGGAGGTCACAGGGTGCAACAGGGCGTGCTTGGGACGAAAACTGCAGCTGTCAAGCGGGTGATTTGTTGGGATTTATTTGCACTACTACGCGCTGCAGGTTTCAGCTCGTTTCCTGGCAGTCCGCCTACTGCATGATTAGGCGGACTGCCAGGGGAAACCCAGCGTTTTGAAAACACGCTAAAACACGCGTAACGATAACACACGCGTACACGCGCAGCTTGACAGCGTTTTGAAAAAAGTAGGCGACTGTGTGTGGTGTTTTGAAAAGTGCTTTAAAAAACACTTGTACATGTTTTGTTTTGTGGGCGCGGATGTGCTTCAAACTAGGTTGTCATGTGGACTGCCTAGCTGAGTGCAGTTCAGTCAGAGGTTTGGCTGCAAATGTGTGCTAGGAAAGAGCGATGCGCCAATGGCCAAGCGATTAACAGGTAGCACTCCATGTGTGTGGCCTCACCGCTGTTACCGCAGTCCATACACTTTTTTTGAACAACCATGAATTCTATGGCAGCAAAAATGAATTGCAGGCGAGTGCAACCAAAACAGAACACACCCTGAGCTACAAGCCTGCAACCGCAATGCAACAGGACACCACAAGCAAATTCAGCAATCAGCGCGGGAAAGTTCAGAAACATTGCCATGACAACTGTTTCGCGCGGTTTGTTATGATTAGGCTCGATGGTTGAAAATGCATGACTTTATTTTGCTTTGCGTTGAGTGTTTGGGTGTGCCCTTTAGTTTTGTCAACATGGCCTGGCTTAACGCAGGTAAACACATTGAATGAATTCAGTCGAGCACGTGGCATGATTTGTTGCAAGGTTTGGGAGCACGTTTGGCTCGGCATTGTGAGTGTTGGCGCCTGGCGCTGTGCTCGCAGGCTGGGATTTCCATGAAGGGCAAAACGGGGAAAGGGTTTGTCAGCACTACACCACTTCTTTCAGTGGTCATGGCCTCATTCGGCAATTCAGGGTTTCAGAGTGTTCGTAGGGCTTGCACCTCATTCAGTGCTGCCACTTCTTTCAGTGGCCCTCATTCGGCAATTCAGGGTTTGAGGGGTTACTGTAGGGCTTGCACCTCATTCAGTGCTGCGCCACTTCTTTCAGTGGTCCTCATTCGGCAATTCAGGGGTTTCAGGGGTTACTGTAGGGCTTGCACCTCATTCAGTGCTGCGCCACTTCTTTCAGTGGCACCCTATAGGGTCACACTTCTTTCAGTGGGAAGGGGATATTGTGCGTTTTGCGCCTCATTCGGCGGTGGGCCACTTCCTTCAGCGCAGTTTAGGGGCTCGCCCATTTCAAACTATGTGTTTGGTTTCAGCCTCTTTGCGCAGGTCCATGATGGCCAGGACAGCCTCCAAGACCGCGCGCCACAGCCTTGGTAACCATTGCTGGAGACATGATCATGTTGAGATGCATTTGGGTTTGTCCTTTTTTGGTGTGTTGAGTTGCTTCAAAAGGGAGAAGGTGGGACCTCCCCGAATCATACCCCCGAATCATACCCCGAATCATACCCCCGAATCATACCCCTTAAAACGTATGCTGCAAGATGCTACTGTTCTTCTACCGTTTTGTGTTGTTCACTGTGTCCACAATAACCACCACCAGCGCTACCCAATACTACCACTACCATTGCCACTCCTTCTACTACTACTACTACTACTACTACTACCACTACTACTACTACTACTACTACTACTACTACTACTACTACTACTACTCCAATTACTACAACTACTGCTACTACCACTACTACTACTACTACTGCTACTACCGCAACTACGAGTATTACTACCACTACCACCGCTACACTACCGCTGCTACTACTACTCTACTGCTTCTACTTCTGCTTCTGCTACCCTTACTACTAACTACGACGACTACAACCTTGACTACTACTACTACTACTACGACTACTACCTTTACTACTACTACTACTACTACGACTACAACCTTGACTACTACTACTACTACCACCACTACTACTACTACTACTACTACTACTACTACTACTACTACTACTACTACTACTACTACTACTACTACTACTACTACTTTACTACTACTATTCCTGCTTCTGCTACTGCTGCTGCTACTACTCACCACTACCACATACATCATTCTGAGTCTGTAATCCGCGCCGTTTTGCACCTAGCCGAATCATACCCGCGAATCATACCCGAATCATACCCGGACAATGAGCTTCCCCTGCCAAGGCTAGTGCTAAGTCAGCGTCCACACCACTACAACCGCTGCTGCTTATGCTACAGCTGCTACCGCTACTTCTACAACTGCTACTACTACTACTACCACTACTACTGCTACTACTACTACTACTACCACAGCTACTACGAGTTTGTAATCAGTGCCGTTTTGCACCTAGCCGAATCATACCCGCGAATCATACCCGAATCATACCCGCGCAATGAACTTTCCTTGCCAAGGCCAGCGCCAAGTCTTTTCAAATCTTCCGCGCCACTACAGTCGCTGCTTCTACTGTTACTACTACTACTACTACTACTACTACGACTACTAGTACTACTACTACTACTACTACTACTACTGCTACTACTAGGACTACTGCGACTATTGACTACTACTACTACTGCCACCACTACTACAACAACAACCACTACTACTACTGCTACTACTACCACTACTACTTCTACTCCTACTACTACTACTACTACTACTACTACTACTACTACTAACTACTACTACTACTACTAGCTAATAATACTACTACTACTACTACTACTACTACTACTATTGTTACTGCTACAATATTACTACTAGTACTACTACTTCGGCGACTACTGCTACTACTACTGCTGCTGCTGCTTCCGCGAATCATACCCCCGAATCATACCCCGAATCATACCCGCGAATCATACCTGCGAATCATACCCCGTACTCAAACCTTCCTGCCCGGCCACCCTAAAAAAATACAAACCCATTTGTGTCTCTTGTGTGACAGTCAGGACCCTGCAAACAGGTTGGCAAGTAGACATTTTTTGCACCGTCACTCAATAAAGTCTGGCCGAAGTAGGCATTTTTGGTCACTGAATGAAGTGACTCTAGCCGAAAGAGGCAAGCAACATACATGCTGTGATGATGCGTTGGTTTCCCGCGTGGCTCAACATAACATTTTATCCTTAGGTCTGGGGGCAGTGGCGTATCAATCCTTGCAGGCACATTGCCCCTGAGAACAAACCAGCCAAGCCATGGCACAGCTGAAAAGCAAAGCAAGCCACCAGGGCAGACAGGTTTGTGCCACCGA